ATGAACAATTTTAGGAAACTAAAACCATTCTTATAGCCACAAGCTGATTATGAATAATATTAGTCTACTATTAAATTTTGGTCTATCTTGTTCTCATTTTTTTCCGTCCATGAATATTTTTTCCTTTTTTTTCTAAATATAATCATGTTTAAAAATACCAATATGCAGAAAAGTAAAAGAAAATATAAACCTTCAATTAACCCTTAAACCCCTATTAAATTAAGGTGATAATCTTTCTGTGGTCCCCTTAAGAACAACCCATGCATAGATCGATACATCAAACACATTCAGGTATGTGCTGTGCAAATAATTTGATATCTTGCATTTTAACTGAAAGAGCCATTATCACTGGCATGCATAATGGCTCACACCTATAATCCTAGCACTTTGGGAGGCCAACTCAAGGAGAATGCTTGAGGTCAGTAGTTTAAGAGTCTGTCTCTACAAAAAATTAAAAAACAAAAATAGCCAGATGTGGTGGATGGCACCTGTCCTTCCAACTACTTAGGCTGCTAAGGTAGAAGGATTGCTTGAGTCCAGGAGCATGAAGGTGCAGGGAGCTGTGACTACAGATCCATCATCACCATTTCCTCCTATTGTAATTTTTCATAAATAAAATTGTAATGGCCCACCGTGTAATTTTCTTCTTCTACTGTATATTTTTATTATTTATGATTTTTCAGGGTAATAAATGCTTCAATGAACTTTTTTTCGTATTTAAAGCTTTTACACCCCTACCTAGAAAATTCAAATCTAATTATTCCTTTTGTGACTTTTCTCTATGGATTTTGAGAAGAGAACATGCTTTCCCACCCAAAAATCTGACTTTTATTATTTGGTTTTTACTCTCCTTTTTTTAAATACAGCTTAGCTCCTTAATCTATCTGGGCTATCTTGTTGTATATTGTTAAAGGTTCCAAACTTATTTCACATGTTTACAGTTTAGCCAAATCTAGTGTAATTTATCAGCCCAACATTTTTGAAATGCACATTTACGTTTTTAATGGAAATACATGGTTCATAATGTTGGCTTTCCTCTAAGCTTCAGAGATCCTTCAAGACTGACAAAATAGACAGAGCTTTGATTATCAGCAGGATCATACTGCCAGGGAATAAAGAGGCCACTCATACAGGCCAAATTAAAACGGAACAATTAGAAGGTCCAAATTCCTAGCTTCGTGGTTTTATTATTTTAGCCTTAAAATGTCTCAAAAGTTTCAAGATGAGCTTAAGTGGTGGACTTACTCTTCATGTGGACTGATCACCACTGGTCTCATTTACTGACTAAGGGCTACCTCTATAACCTACCACTAGTAACCAGGTTTTGACACTGGTTACCAGCAGACCAGGTAAGAAAGCAGAAGAGAAGCCCACCCACTCCATCCCAGCAGAACAAGGGCAGAGGGGCTGGTCTTGCTGGTTGGCAGCAGGAGAATAGGGCATGTTCAATGTGAAGAGCATTGTGGATGTCAGAACTTATGTGGTTGTTCACAGTAATAAGCATTAGACTATATACAGCCTGAAAATAACAGTTTACCAGTTTCCCCAGCACAGTGTCCAAGGCACAATACTCTTACTGCTACTTACTAAGCTTCTCCAACTTAGATCAACTTAAACATTCTGGGGCAGTTTCCTTGAACCATACAATTAAAACAATAAAAACAATCTACCTCTCAGTGTTGTTGTGTGGATTACACAGGAGACTGGGAATAGCAGTTGCCCTTCACAAAGCCTTCTGAGTGTTCGTTACTACCACTTTCACCACTACTCCACCACTCCTACTATGACTCCCACTACTAGTGCCCCAGAAATTCCAGGTCTAACTTTGAGTTTTAGGTCCAATTTCTGACTTGGAAGGTCTAACTTCATTCTGTGTCCTCCAGAATGAAGCAAGCAAGCTCCAGAAGTATCATCTGCCCTCAGCTTCTGTAATCTCTCTGGGAAATTAGTATTTACTGCCATTACTCAAACAGTGAATTTCCAGGGTGGAGAACATCACGATCTCCCACACTTTCTCATACAAGGGCACAAGACCCACACACACCAGCACCATGGGCAGGCAGGGTAAAGGACAAGAACCAGGAGATTCAGCACAGAAACGGCAGGGGTGGCACCGCTCATCGCCATCATTGCACGAGTCTGACGAGGCAGTGAACTACAGACAAGAACCCACCATCCCAAATCACAGGGCAAAGACCCAGACAGTGGGCAGGAGTGGGGAGGGAGTGGAACTGGAGGGTCAGGGAAAAATCTATCAAGGCTCAGCAATCAGAAAACCCATCTTTAATAACACAACTACTTTTACTTATTTATTTCCTTCCTCAGGGTCCTGATCTACAAATGCCATTAAATTTTTCCATGTTTTGGGTGTGAGCCAATTCAAGTTGACGAATAAGGATTTGTCACCAACCCTGAAACTCAGATTCTGGGTCATGGGCTAGGCTCATAAATCATGTGAGGTGTAGAAGACACCTGCAGCACTTGGGCTATCATAAGAATGTGTGCTGGATAAAAAGCAATCAGCATAAAGCCCCACTTAGAATTAGATGGTATGTGATGGGAAATACCAGTGTGCCCATCTCTACTCGATTTTAGCCAAAAGGCAAAGATGTAACAAAACCAGCCAAGTGAAGTGAGAACAAGAATTGCAATATGTGCCCCCAATCTGAAATGAGGGTAACTTAAGATTTGCTTACACACTTTATCCAAATTTACATATTTTGGATGCTCTGCAATCGTTTTGTTGCTGTTGTTGTTGTTGTTGTTGTTGTTGTTGGTTTTTTGGGGGGTTTTTTTAGAGACAGAGTCTCACTTTATTGCCCTTGGTGTCACAGTTCACAGCGACCTCCAACTCCTGGACTTAGGCAATTCTCTTGCCTCAGCCTCACTAGTAGATGGAACGACAGGTGCCTGCCACAACGCCTGGCTATTTTTTGTTGCAGTTTGGCCAGGGCTGGGATTTGAACCAGCCACCCTTGGTATATGGGGCCGGTGCCCTACTCACTGAGCCATAGGCAGCGCCGCCCTGCAATCATTTTTTTCTCCTCACTTTTGGGGAAAACATATTTTAATGTGTAAGTGTTTGGGAAAACCCTAAAAAGTCTGATTTTTAAGGAGTTTCTCTCTTTGCCAGTCATCCTTTGCCACACTGCATGTTTCTGTTTCTAATCAGTAGTATTTTACTTTGTTATTAACTCTGGAAGAAAAGTCTGTGAAGCACGTGGAAACAAAAACAGAGATCTGTAAGATACAAATTGGTTCTGTGTAAGCTCTTTAAAGACTTTTACCTATACCCACTAAACATAAACAAGCAACCAATGTTAACACATCTTAACTTTTCTTTAAAAAATCAAGCAGCTTCAAGCAAGTTGACAAAAGATTCTCCTTAAAATTTAAATTAATAGCACTTAATAATTAATAATTGCATAATAGCATGTATGTCTGGCATATATGTAAAACATAGGAAAGTCATAGAAATCTTTGCACCGTTTAGAAAGCTAAAATGACCTAATGGATTTGCTGTTAAAGAAAATGTCTGTGAGGCAGAGCCATCAGATGTCTGTGCAATCACTTCCTGGGATATGAAAGACAGTCACATCTGTGACCCTGAAATGGTATGCAGACAACTTTACAGCTTCAACTTCAGCTTAAAGTTTAGCATATCACTTCAAAGATTTTATTTAAGTCCATTTCCATCTTCCCTTCTCCCTCAATGTTTTTTTTTCCTTTTTTTTTTATTAAGTCAAATACACATAGATCATGAATACTTTCATGCATATGTGGGGTACAATGTGCTGATTTTTTTTTATACAATCTAATGTGGTTACATTAAACCAATCAACATAGCTCTCACCTCATTTACTTGATTATTGTGCCAAAACATGTATGTTCTACATTTCACAGATTTGACCTCAATGTTTTTTTGAACAGAGAACATGAAAGACAAGACCCTTTCTGCTGCTCTGAATTTCCCAGTGGAAGGAATAAAAGAGGAGAATAAAATGGCAGTAAGAGAAGCATATTACCATATTTTAAAGCATTCATAATTTCCCTGAACTAAATCATACTTAAAATAACATACAGCAAAAAAGCTAACTTTCACAAAGTGTTGCAAACTTTAAGACATTATGAAATTGAACTATTCTTATGGAACAATTTCATGCCAGAATGCTTCGGAGCAGATTAACAAAACTAAACTTGCTCTCTGGATATTTAATGAGATTAAGAAAGATATTTTCCTGGCATTTGATTTCGTAATTAATATTAACAATACTTGTATGTTTTGCAAGTCACACCCCATTTTTATAGTTGTTTATTCCTAGGGTAATCTCGCATTCTGAAGAGTCACTGGAGCATAAAAATAGTGACAAATGAGAAAGAGATTCAGCTGGGCTTAATCCACCTGTAGCTCTGCCTAAGTCAACTGCTATAAAATATCACTGGTATTTTATGAGGTATTATAGAAAAGTGCCAAACCTTTCAAAGAGAAAATTAAAAATGATATTCTGGTTCCTGGTAAATCCAGGGAGTAGGCCCAAGGGAAAACCATGCATCAAACAAGCACAGACAAGTGTGGTGAGTGACGGCAACACTCACTAGGGTGGCACACACTGCTGAATGTTCAAGCAATTAAAACCAACTGTGTATAAAATTATAGTTATACCTCAAGATTTAATGAAAGTACACAAAGGAAGTAATTATTACAAAATAAAAAGGAACTGAAGTGTATATAAACAATTACAAATTTCTAGGCTGCAAATTCAACACTGGTATGTTATTTCCTCTTGGCTTTTACTTGCATGTAAGATTATCAAATGGTGAGTAGATTATAAGGAGAAACATAATGCGCCAAACCTTTGTAGGATCAACAAGCTCGTGTTGTTTGCTAAAAGAACACAGCAGCAGCACCACTGCCACCCTGTCTGCCAGGTCAGCTCCCTGCAACCACAGAAAGAAAATCTGGCCCATGCAGCAGAAAGTTCAAAACATGATTTACTAACCTGGTGCCTCCGTGAAAGTAGCCACTCCATACCACTTGAAAGAAGGAACCCTTACTAAGGAACCAATCTCCCTCCGAAGCAGCTGATAGCTGAGGGGGAAACACTGGCTACTCTGAGAATCCACAGAAACAGGGAAAGCCGCCCTGTTCCCACGCCCAGTTTTAGTGACTCCCAACTGGCAACTTCAGTTGCAGTGGAGCTCACAAAGCGTCAGCCTATAAGCTTTAGTAAAGAATTGAAACCACTCCCATGTGTTAAACAGACACTAGACTGCTGTGAGAAAGAAAACCCACATACAGAATGAGCTGAGACTTCAGGCTTCATTTCTGTACTTGCTTGCCCAAGATAACTATAGCACAGACTCAAAGAGCTCTCTCTCCCTTTTCTGTCCTCAGACATTGTATTAAAGTGACTCTATTTATTTTAAACAAGAGGGATACAGTCTGCCCTGCATTAGGGCCACTAAACAACTTTTACCCTGTGTAAGCTGGGTGGTGCTTATGGACCATAGAACACTGTAATTTTACACTGTATAAGAGGGACATATAAAGTTATTTCTGAGAATCAAACTGATATAATATCACTATTTTCATATTTTTGATAGCATTAAATAAGTCTAAAACTTCATCAATCCCAACGTCCAAACATTAATACACGTTCAAGAGGAAAGTTGGTCAAAAAGACTAACTTCTGATTCTGACTTGGTGTCTACAAATCTTAAAAGCACCCACATTTAGAATGCAATATCTTGATGTTTACATGTACATGCACATTATGGCATATGACATACAAAAAGTTATCTCTTTAAATATTATTGCCTTCAGAAGATAAAGAGTTGCAAACAGCTAAATGTGTGTTCTTTTCATATAGTAGGCATTTTCTTCCCATTCTTTTTCCTCAATATAAAATAAAATAAAATGTCTGAAGGCAAAATAAATAAGTAAAATGAAACTTAATGTCACTATGGTTCAAGTTAAGAAATTTAAATTTATTTTTCATTCTAGAAAAATTTAATTGGTAATTTCTTTAAGGCAGTTAAGTGTTAAAAATAGTCAATAATGTTCCAGTATATTGCTCAAGAAAGAATAAGAATCTATACTCAGCTTTTAACACAATGTATATACATTCAGTATACATAATTCAATATACAATTTCCCTGGTTTTCAGTTATGATGACTTGATTTTCTGATTTCTGCTATAAATAAGACCTATTTTAACATAATGGGCAAGATTTTCTACTTTGATTATTATTTCTTCTGCACTATAAGACTGGACAAAATATGCCAAGAAAAGATTGATTCACTTGTTGCCAAATAGATTTACATCTATTTCTGGTAAAATTTAAGTTACTCAAAACCTATGAAACATCTCAATGAGGTCAGCCATGCACATCCTGGAGACTATTTCAGATCTGACACTCACCCCACACTCCCCTCCCACTCCCCTGAGGCTGCATCCCCTGGGGGCCTCTTGGAGCAAGGGAGCAGGACAGTCAACCTGGTGAGAAGCTGGGCTCAGAGCACCTCTTGCCTGTAAAGGAGCTAGTGCCCCACCTGCTGGCAAAACCAAAAGCAGGCTGGGAGAGTTGAATGAGCCTCAAAGAGAAATAATATCACTTTGATATTGGAAGAAAAAATGAGAGAGAATCAATCATAAGAGTACATTAATTTTACTTACAATGTGTGGTTAAGGATTATTAAAATTTTTCCACAAGAGCATAATATTTTCAGAAGATACGAAAATGCTCATGGAAAAAATGTAATTCTATTAAAAACTATCCCTTTTATGTGGATCTGGTTTGCAAACATATATGTTGGTTTGTATGCCCAGGTAAATCCTCTAATAATAATGATATGATCTCTCCTCTACTCAAACAGCTTCGAGAAATATTCCTGTGAGATCAAAACAATCTTTGAAACGGAAGAAATACAAATAAATCCCTAACTTCACTAGATAAACTGCTGTGAGACTATTCTCCATTGTTCTGTCAAAAACCTGTATCCCAAGGATTTTCCTTATCTTTCTGTCAAAAATTATTTCCTTTAGATTCATATAAATTAATTCTGCTAATATCAATGTTTGATATTAACCTCAACGAAGATTAAGAACAGTAAATATTTTGTAATGCACTATGGTCTTTGACAAAGTTGCCATGCTCTTTAATAAAACCCCAGCAAAAATTATAGTAGGATTGATTTTTTAATGAGCCCAAGCCACACTATTATTAGAGCTCTTCCTATGTGCCACACTTGGTCCTAAAGTGTTTTATAAGTACCAACTTATTTGAACCATTCTATTATTAGTTTTACAGACGAGGCAGTTTTACAGATGAGAAAAGTGAGGCATCCCATAAGTAAGTACTTTGCCAAGGTCTCACTGTTAGACGTGGAGCTGGGATTAGACCCCTGTCAGCACCCCACACTGTATGCTACAGAACTATCTTCCTGAGCACACACCTCTTGTGAAACCCTGCCAGGTCCTAAACAAATGCAACAGAGGGGGAAGAAATGAACAATAACTTCTCTGAACAGTTCTCATGAAGGTTTTCCAGAGAAGCAGCCACAGAACTGAGACCTTAAGGCATCAGCTCTCAAGGCGGGGGAAAGTGGAGGGTGCTGAGAGGAACTGCCTGCAGTGAGCCTGGAGAGGCTGCAGGTCTGGTCGGAGGAAATGCTGTGTGGAAGGGAAGCCTCTGGTGCCATATCATGGGGACAAAGAATCATCTCGAAAAGATTTTGAACCAGAAAGTAACCCAATGTGTAGGTTGAAAGGTTAAGTAGGAGGAACCAAGGCTTGCTGGGCAAGAAAAAATTGCAAAGACATTCCAGGTAAAGGGAAGGACAGACCAGTGCTTTAAAATGTGCACGTTTACACTTTCACCGAGTTTAACTGGTAGAAGGAGTAGGGTAACCTGGGCCGCAGCTTGTCCACTAGCTCTCTCCCTCGTCCAGCCAGGTTTGAGGCTGAGCCACGCATGATTGTGAATGCCATTCAGGGAGCTAGGGAACCAGGAGCCAGGAGCAGGAGCAGGATGGTGGGAAAAGGGTGTAGGAGGGCCATATCTAGGAGTTTGCTTTAGGAAGCTAGGTCTAAGCCCCTGTGGGAGAGGCAGGCCTTGTGCCCCTCCTCTCAGCAGAAAAGTGACATGTAGGTGTCACTGACAGGAGAAGGGCAGAGGCAGCTGGGGGCCAGTAGCGCACACAATTGGCCTCTGACGAAAGAACAGAATAGGAGGCAAGGGTGAAGTTTTAAGGCGAGAGGTTCTGAGTATATCAGACAAAATCAGGATGTGGGTGGGAAATTTTTTCATTTTTATTTCCACTAACCTCTCACTGAATTTCTTTCTAATTACAAATATAGGTTAAAAAAAATCCACGGGGGGGGGATGGGTGGAGGGAGGGTGATTGGAGAGATCACTTCTATGGTTTATCTTACAAGGGTACAAGTGAATCTTTCTAAGAGTAGACTATAAACGTCTTAACACAATAACTAAGAAAATGACATAAGGGCTATGTTAACCAGTTTGATGAAAATATTTCACATTGTATATGAAAACACCACACTGTACCCCAAGATTGCATTAATGTACACAGCTATCATTTAATTTTAAAAAAAGAGGGTCTGTTAATGTTAAGAACCAGTGAATTAAAATAAATGAATGTAAATTTAAAAAAAAATCCACAGTAAAATTAGCCATTCCTGTGACTTCTCATTTATAGAATAAAATATATTTACATATCACATTATAGTTATTGCAAATATCTCAAAGTATCAACTTTATTTATCACTCTTCAAATTACAATAGTTGTAGAGCTGCCACTAGATATTGGCAAGTGATACACTTTGATAAACAGCATGGGTTACAGTATTGCATATTTACCTAGTATGTTGATAACTTCGTATAACTGGTTTCCTTTATAATCCTATGCATTTTAATTTTATGTAGTAAATTTATGTTAAATAATCCTTACATGGTAAACGTTATTCTGTAGATTGATCATTAATTTCATTAGATTGTCAAAGAAGTCCCATGGCACACAAAAAAAGTAAGGAACATCAGACTTAAAAGGAAAGGGAAAAGCCACTGGAAGACACTTAAAATGGCATTTAGGAACAGGGACCCTGGTAGGAGATGAAGCCAGCATTCAAATCCAGAATGTAAACCCAAGACTTCAGATTTTGTGTTTTTCCGCCACCTAATCCACGCCCTAAGGTAACAGAAGTCATCCTCCTTCATTTGTGTGAGCAAAGTTCTTTCCTACGTGAGCACATCAGCTCAACCCTGGGACCCCAACAGGAACTCACAGGCAGTTCCAACTGGCCCAGCACAGAATGGTCTAAGAAGACACCAATTCCTAGGCCCCAGCACTGTGCCAGCCCCAGATGGATGGTGGCATCTGTCACTGAGCTGTGGTCACAGTGATCAGCATTCCCCCATTCAAGGCTGGATAGGGGAACTCAGTTTTCCTAAGCCTGAGCAATTTCATGAAGGAAACACCCTGAACTTATGCCCAGGGCTGGAGAGACTGCATTCATTTGTTAATACACTCGGTGACTTCGAAAAAGTGTTTTTCCAACTACCAAGTCCTGGCTAAAGTGTGATGTATACTCCTAAACCCACTGGAGGGATTTCTGACTTGGGTCTCCCCCTGTGCCAGATGTTCTGGTACTTTTTACTCCTTCTGTATTCCTTTCTGTCTAATAAAACCCTATCTTCCCACTGATCTGTGGTCCATGGGTTCATTCTTCAAATCCCTGAGACCAAGGACCTACTGAAGAAGAAATTCTGGTGACATATCTTGGGGGCATCATCCAGGATTGAAGATTTGTAGTAAGCAATGGGACCACTCACCTATCTTGTTTTTCTCTATAATCGTGATAACGGAGATAATAATTTGGATGCCGTCAGCCCCTGAAAGTACACAGCACTACTGCTGACCTCTAGGTTATGGCCAGAGGCTGTTGGGGAAGGAATTTTCTAATTCACCTTGGCTCCAAAAGAAAGAAGCCATAGCAGGGTGGCGCCTATGGCTCAAAGGAGTAGGGCACTAGCCCCATATGCCGGAGGTGACAGG